CACAAGTATTATATTGAAAATTGTCTGAAGCCTTTTGCTAATGTAATATAAAAACAGACAGAGACATCAGGTCCCAAATGTTCAAAATTGCTTGACGATCATCGTTAACTTCATACTCGTCCAATGTTATTAATTATTCGACAGAGGGAGATATCAATATAATGTCACACCTACCATATTCGCCAGACCTGATACTACGTAATCTATGATTAGGTGATTGTGTCGGACGTAGTTTAACTGATTAAATAAATGAAATATGATGTGCTCATGCGGTTTCCAGGATAGCTAAAAAATTTTTAGAAAAAGAGTTCAAAAAAAAAACTTTTAATTAATTGTTAGAAAAGACTGATCTTGGAATAAATAATACTGGCAACTATCTTCAACATTTGATAAATTAAGATTAAAAATATCTTCTTATCTTTATTTTTTTATTTAATGATGGCAGAACTTTTGGTCAGACCTAAGTATATATAACATCAAAAGAACAGAAAAAGAGAAAGAGAAGGTGAACATATAAAATGGTATAGATGCCATATCACAACAGACACAGTAATGCAGCACATTTCATTCTAGTGTGTGCGATAGCTGACTGTCTCGATAAAAATACAGCCGAGAAAGCTGAAATTTTCTCAGATGGTTTGCGATAGAGTTCAGAACCTGTTTAGCAACGATCAAAAAAAAGAAATGAATTTAAAAAACTTGTAGAAGCTTTCAGTTTCTTCTGAACATACAGAGGCAATAAACTGATGATCAACATTGAAAACCACGCGAAAGTCTCTCAGCATCGATAGGGAGGCTGTATATTTGTGTGGGGAAAGATGATGAGTATGTGAGTTGCGAGCATGGGTGGTGTGATGTAAGAGTATGCGTGAATGTTGGTAAAATGGAGATCCTCACGCTCACCCACATACTCAGTGGCAGATCTAGGTACATATTGAGGTACTTACGTTTCCTAGAAGGGTAAATGTAGTTTCAACTAGAGATGAAATCGGTTCACGTTTATTAAAATCTAAACTGAACCGAACCAAAAAATAATTTTTTCAAAACTGCACAAGGAATAACTAAAATAAAATAATCGTTTGATGAATTCCTTTATCTTATTCCAGACAACTTTCATCTATTATAAATTAGTACATATATATATATATATATATATATGTAAGTAAGTCCATTTTTTGTTTGTGATTCAAGGTTCTTGTTACTTAAGGAAGATGATGGTGATGATATTAATGCATCAATCAATGATAATGAATTGATTCCTGTTGATGATATAAAATGAGTTTAACTAGGATTAAATTCATCACAAATTTGAATATTTTTATTCATGTTTCTCCTACAAGATGAATATGTCATATAACAATACTTGCACGATACAAATTTTTCAAATTATTTAGGTTTTTCTTCATCAAGTTTTCGATCAGGAACATTGGAAGATTTTCAACAGTTGGATCTTTTATCTTTGATGTCAACAGTAATCTAATCTTTTTGTTTTAAGTATAAAGCAATTGTTTCTACAGTCAAAGATTAAAAAGAACGAGATACATGGAATACATGAGCTGATGACTAGGATGAATTAGAAGATGAAGTAATGCCGATTCAGAAAAAAAGATGAGTGGGTAATTTTTTAAATAACGTTGCACTACAACCACCTATCGAAGTCGGGTTTGGATCGTTTGAAAGAGGCTTACCTAGCACATCCATCCATATAAAATTGTTGAGAACCAAATATTGATGGTATTGAACCGAATTTTTATCGATTTTACCTTACACATAATATTTTTCAAGTTGCCATTATTGATATTTTTGATGATGGCGGATCGATTGGCAATGCTTATTTCCCTGTAGAACAAGTCTTTTTCTATCAAAAAAGAACTACTAATGATTGTACGATATTGTCTTCATATGTGATTTTATTATCAACTCGGATATACATATATGTCATGATCTTAAAGGATATTTATAACTGCCACACCCACATATATGACTATGCGTAGATTGGATGAAATTTTTGCGTTCTAGTTTGAGTATTTTTTCTGCTGGTTGTACTTACAACACAATTTCAACAGTTAATAATAAGTCTATTGACGACGTCTACTATAAAAATGCCTACAGGCCATGAGTTTTTTTATGAAATGAAGGAGATATTTTTCAATGCTATTAAGTTTGGCGAAAAAGAAGAGCTTGGACCAATAATGCCACTCTTTAATGTAAACGAACGACTCTCATCCATGTTGTATATCTCGATGAGATCTGTCGAGAAATTGAAAAACAAGATGAGAGACATCGAACATGAGATGATGGCACAGAAGAAAAAAATGGATGAGGAGAAACAGCAGATGGAGAATCGAAAACTTTAGGTGATTCGTCGACTTCGAAATCTACGATCAAGATCATCGTCGTCGTCATCTTCATCCAGCATCAGTATTAACACCAAGGCAACCAGTTTTCCCGTCCCTAATCCAGCACGAAAGCTATCAAATTCTGGCCCTTCACCAATCGTTTTGATTGAGCAACACCAAGAAAATATTCGATAAGTTCGGTTTGTTCGAAGAATAGCATCAATACGAAGAACGATTTGTTTAGATTTTATGTTCATTGTCTTTTGGTAGAACGAATCTATCCTACCATCGACACGATTCTTGTTCCTATTCTGACTGAAGATGCTAATTTTCCTATCCAGTCGAAAGCATTGCTATGGCAGTGGATGAAAAAACTCGAATTTGAATACGAACGAACATCGAAAGTTGTCGTCCCACCCGATATCCTCGCATTTATGGCTGCGCATGCACGCTACTTTGCTGCCATCGATGAACTGAGCGCCGATGGTTCTAAGATGTTTTGGCATGATGAGACATGGTGTAACAAAAATGAAGAAAGGCATTTTGTTTGGATCGATGGAACAACACATATTGGCCGACTTCGACGCAATCAGGGCAAAAGTAATGATAATTTCTTTTATAATCCAGCTGACTAATGCTTATTGTTACAGGTAAAAGACTAGCGATAGCTGCACTTTTGAACGAATCGGGTTTTCATAAGGAAATAATCGACATGTAAGAATGTGATGAAAATCATAGTATGAACTCAAGACAGTTTCTGACCTGAATTGATCGAACAGCTTCTCTTTTAAGAGAAGAGCACGGTATTATGATTTTTAACCTTTTACCATAACGTTCATTGTTGATATACGTAGGCAAGCAAGCTAAAATCGACGTGATTATCGATAATGCAACTTGGCACAATCAACTTACTGAAGACACTATTCCTCCCAAGAGAGCATGGCAAAAAAAACTCATCGTTCAGTGGTTGATAAATCACGATATTACAGTCCCCATGAAAGCCACTAAAGCCGAGTTACTCGAGCTCGTTTTCGATAATCTACCACCAAAGTCTTACGTGGTTGATGATGATGATGTAGTCAAAAAATACAATGTCGATATTTTGCGGCTAGTTATTATTCTTTCAAATCATTTTTACTCTAATACATATATTTTTATAGTTTGCCAGTGAAGCGTTGTATGCTCAATCCGATTGAGTTAGGATGGACTGGCTTAAAAAATGATGTATCTGACAAGAATGTTAACGTTAGCTTTAGTGACATTCGACACTTGGCCCACCAATGGATGATGTCCTTGAATAGAGAAACCTCTATGGGATATATCGATCAAACGCGCAAGACTGAAGACATCTTCAAGAAGTCTGATCGATTCACTGAAGAAATCGGGGAACAGTTGGTGAATGAAGAGGAAGAAGTCGGTTCGGCGGCAGAAGAAATGATTGATTGATAATATGAGTCGCTGCTCTTTTTCTTTTCATGTTTCTGTATACAAATATGGTCCTAGATGTGTTACTTATAGTCAAAAGTATTTGTGGAATATGATGTACATATTCGAAGTTGACAACTTAATAACATATGAAAACGATATCGTACAATCATTAGTGGTTATATTTTGATTGAAAAAGACTTGTCCTACAGGAAAATAATCATTGTCAATCGATCCGCTATCATCAAAAACATCACTAATGATAATTTGAAAAATATTATGTGCAAGGTAAAATCAATAAAAATTCGGTTCAATACCATCAATATTTGGTTCATAACTTTTGAACAAATTGAGATAAATACTTCGACCTTTCGTAGATTTATTGCCTTTCAGCCGCTGATCCTAATCTACTTCTCAAAGCTTAAAATTCTTTCTCTCTTCATAGCACAACAGCCTACACTTTCAAGGTGAACATAGATCACAACTTATTCATCAAAATGAATCTCAACAATTTTATATGGATCGATATGCTAGGTAAGTCTCTTTCGAACGACGCAAACCCGAGTTCGATAGGTGGTTGTAGTACAGAGTTATTAAAAAAATCGCCCACACGCCTATTTTTTCTGAATGGGCATCAATCATTTGATCTGTCTATGAACGGAGTTCCAGATCGAAAGATACCATAATTTGATTTTTTGGTAAATACCTAAAACTGGATCGAAAATTCAGTAGTACAATTTCCGGATTTATTCTAGCATTAAAATGTATGGACGCTTTCAATTGTTTGTCAATTTTGTACGTCGTATGAAGTTTTCATGATTTTATTTTAATATATTTTTTTAGTCTTCGTAATAAATTTCTCTTTTAGTAGATGTCTATCGTACTTATTAATGATTTCAATAAATTCTACTGTAGTTGCCATGCAAGATAGACGTGTCAAAATATTTTGTTTTTCCTTCAAAAAAAAATTTGAAAAGTATTGATTATTGTGTATATTCTATAGGATCTATTTCACTCTCTTGGTTTTATTCGTATTAGAAATGGCATCTATATCATCTAATCCTTAGGTAAATATATTCTTGATTGTTCTAATCTTTTCCATCGTTTTTTCTTTTTCGATACATGATACGAACACATACGCATAAAGATTTATATTTTTGATGCATTACTTTTAAAATTGTCAAGACAAAACGAATACGAATGGTAACGTATTTTTGGTTGTATTTATTCAGTTGTATGTTAATTTCGATTGTCATTGGTAACTATGACTATGTTAAAGGTATGATTATCAAAATAGAAATAAAATTGATTAAAAAATTGTTTGTTTTTTTTAATAAAGAAATGAGTTTTAAATTTTGGCTCAATCTCGATGTTGAAGAATGCTATCATGAATTATTAGAAAAAGGTTCAAGATTATATTTTATCTATGAAATTTTAAATGTTAATACACCTGATGACAATATTGTTGCTTATTTTCGAAATAGTTATAATAGAAGTATTATTGCTTTATCAAAAACACCTCAACATGGTCATCTTGAATTTACAACAAATGAAACAAGTAAGACAATCGAGAGAATTTACCTAGATGTTTAAGTCGTTTTGACCTTAAATAGATCTTGATGTGGTATGAAAAAGTTGAAAAGGATTTATTCACTCAAGCTCTCTTTTTACCAAGATAGAGGAGGTTTCTAAACGATTCAACTCATGGCACGCATGATTACCAGCAAAACCGAATTTGTTGAATTTTGATCTACAAGATTGTTCATGTTAAGATCTCAACTAAATTGTATACAAAATTTTAGAATTATAAGTTCTGAACTTCGATGAAAATTAATTCCTATGCAAACAAAGAATGATCTCTAACTGAATGTATCTGTATGAGATTTTAGTACTTGTGTCAACATTTCAAATGGCATAAAATTGAATGACATTTCTCTTGTAGGAATAGTAATACAAATAAATCAATGTAATGTTCAATTTATCGAAATCAATCAACGAGATTTTGTTTTTATTAAAAGTAACGAATGTATTTGAGATGTGTTATGAGCAACTGATCAGTTAGATTTTGTACTGAACAAAAAGTTCCAAATGAATTGAGGTACATGACGAAAATATTGAAGGAAAAAATACAAAGAAGACAATTTTTAAGTTTTAAACAATTAAAAAGTAGATTGAATACAAACTAAAGAAAACTTACATTGTAATAATTGATAAGATTTCTGGAAGACTTGGCGAAGTAATAATATCTTTCTTTTCCTGAATAAGAAAATCTTATTGGTCGATTTCGATAAATCGAATTATTATATTCATATATTTCTATTACTATTCTTACAAGAGAAAATGTCATTTGAAATGTCGGCATGAGTACTAAAAACTCATATAGATACATCCAGTTAGAGATCATTTTCTGTCTGCATATAAATTAGGTTTTGTCGAAGTTTAGAACTTACGAAACATCTTACAGTAAGAATCGCTTAAAAATTTTCTATCAAGGTAATAAAAGCTTGAGCGAGTATATTCTTTATCAGCTTTTTTCATACTTCATCAAGATCTATTTATGAAAATAAGATAGGTCAGATTTGTTTGAACATTTTAATATATTCTCTCACCAGTTTTTTAGTTTCTTATGATAAATAATTTTCTATTTTAGCATTAATTGATATTTGTTTGGCTCATGAAAAATCAGATACTTATATGAAATATATATCTGTATACTTTCATATTTATCATGTTGATAAAGCTTTAGCTCAAATTCAAGCAAGCGAAAATTTTGATAATTCATCAATTAATGCTCATGTAAATTTTAATTCATTTAAGATTTAAAAATATTTGTCTTTCATGTTTAGAATTCTCTTGATTCAATAAATTATCATATAATTATTTCACGTGAACATCAAATTGAACTTGAAATGATTAATCAAAAAGATTTTTATTTAATTGAAAGAAATTTATTATGGATTAATCGATGGGCATTGATTCATATATTAATAATTTTTAGTTGTTTTTTATTTCAAACATATTTTATTAAACGTTTATTTAAAACATCAAGAAAATAAAAACAAAAAATTAATTCTCTTTTAAATTTAATTCTTGTTCAAATTGTTTTAAATAATCTTGAAGTTTCTTTTTTTCTTTATTTATTATTGACCAAAATTGTTCAGTTGATTGGGAAATTTCTTCATTTAATTCTTCTTCTGAACGTAAAGTTATAGTTCGAATTTGTTTATCATGTTTAAAACGTGATCGTGTTTCAAGTAAATGAGTTCGTCGTGTTTCTCGATCAAACATCTACAGTTGCGATCAAAATTAATTTTATATATTCAATAGATAATCTTAATTTTATATTTTATAAGAGTTGCAATGTATTGAGATTCAGTTCCTAGCAAGATATAGCTCATATGTCATAGATTATTAGGGCAACGTATCATTTCAATCTACCATTAACTGGTTTGTGATAAAAAAAATAAATATTCGAAATGATATTCTTTGTCTTGATTTAAAATTTATCGTCAATTTTTCATATCTTGCAGGACAAAAAGTCCTCCTGCATCCGATCTTTTCATTGCATTTTTGATAAGAAAAAAAAATTTGTCTGTATATGAAGTACGATATTAAATATTATAGGCCCATTATTAATACAAAAATCATTTACAATATAATCATGCTAATAAACCTTATCATATGTTTTCCAGTGGAAATGAAACGAACAATAAAAAAGAAAATATTTTGCCATTCATAAAGTGAACGAAACAAGCATAAAGATACAGGATTCAAATTGTAACCAATATAAACAGATGGACAACGAGAAGGGACAATTTAGCTGAGCTAAATAATTTTTCCATCGAAGCGCTAGCCGCTGGCGTGGCATCTACTCTTCTGGTTACTATTGATAATAATGGAAAATCATGACGAGTTTTACTACTAGACCAGAACTTCATTGAACCATGATCAATTATGTTATTTGAGTGTTCTACAAGAGATACGCATCCTGTGTCATTCTCTGATACTTATATTTAACAAGTTTCTAATGTAAAAAAACAGTGATATCTAGTACAAATAAACTATAAAATACGAACTTTATTTTGCTGAAAACCACTTGTCAATACTTTAAAACTTTCGTAAGATATAAGAAAAACAAAGTCACTTGTTAGGTACAGGATCTATTTTGAGATCCTGTGTATATTATAAATTTTGAAATAAGTAATATTTACTGTAGCAACAAGTTGTTTTTCATTTCGATCAAGAATACAAAGACTATCAGATAATTCCATTAATGTAACATTTCCATTTTTTGTACCACATGCTATATAACGACCTTGTTCTTGAAAACTTAAACAAGCAATAGCTTCTTCACTTAACTATTCAAATTTTATAAAAAAGAAAAAAAGAAAAATACACAATTAATTAATATATATGTTTACTTTGACAGTTAATGCTGGTTGATCTTGTTTAAATAGTAAATCCCAAACATGAATAGATCCTATATTTAATATCATGCAATATATTATTCTTTCAATCATTTCACATAGTCATAAGAGTAGAAAGATACCATAGATGGACTTTGAAATCCAATCTTTTAGGTTTAAATTTCTATCAAGGCAGAACAGCAGAGTTTAAGGTTCACGAAACCTATTACTTCTCTTTCGGAGCAATATGAAGGTTTTTCGAAAAGTCTTTCAGGTAGCACATTATCCAATTGAAAGATTAAAACTTTAATAAACATATGTATTCATATAGTATGTATAGAACTAAAGAAATCTGGTTATATAATATGACCTAAATTCCGAACTCCCGCATTTGAAAGACAATAGTATCGTATTCACTCCGAATTTCCTCGGTATGCAATTTATATACCTTCAGTTGTTGATGAAATGAAAACACCAGGTCTTCCTGGACACCATTGTGCATCAGTTAAATAATATTTACTCGGTCTAATGAATTTCTTTTAGTTGATCTTTTTTGTTTTGTTTTTCAATAAATTAAATAACTTACTTCGTAGAAAAAATATAATCATCTCGTATTTCTTCAGACCAAATACGTAAAGTCCAATCACCAATAGATAGAAATGTTTTATGAAAAAAAGGATGTCGTTGAATAGAATAAATCGGTCCTGAATGACCAGGATAAATAACATTAATTCGTTCTGCATCAATTTTTGCTTTACGTGTACATAGAACAATACGACCTGCTTCTGTTCCTACCATAAATTTTGTTGGCTATATAAAAATATACAAAAGAAATATCAAAATAAATCTATGATTATATTTCTTACAATACTTGAATCATATTCAAGTTTTGTTATAGCTGATGCATATTGTGAACGTTCTTTTTTTTCCAAATCCAATACAAGTTTATCAACTGGTTGATTCATTTTTTTTGTATCCCACCAATATATTTTACCATCAGCAGCAGCAGAAAAAAATTCAGTACCCGTTTTTGATTGAAGCCATAATGCATTTCGAACAGTTTCTCTATGACTATATTCAATTAATGATTGTTCAACTGGAGTATTTCCTTTACGTAAATCAAATATACCTTTTTAATATGAAATAAAATTAATAGACAAAATTTTTCAAGATTATCTTACAAACTTGTCCATTAAGACAACCAGCTAGGATTTGATATGTATCTTTTTGATTAAATTCAACTGTACTCAATGAAGAATTTGGTTTTAAAATAAGTTCTGGTTTATTTGGATTTTCTATAGAAATAAAACAAAAAAAACTTCGATAAAAAAAATAAAAATGACTTTGAAGTTATTTGTACCAATATCCCAAACAAGTGAATCAATTGTATTAATTATAATAGGATTAAAATCAAAATTACAATAAGAAACAGCAATTTTTCGTTGTCCATCTGGTTGCCATGATATATGATTAGCCATTTGATTTATATTTGAATTATAAGTATATAAATTAATTGTTTTAATATTAAAAGGTTCATCATAATCATCAATTTTATTTTGAAAATAAATTTGATGAATATCAATTGCATTATTTTGTTTAATATCTATTTCAAGATCCTTTAAAAAACAAAAAGAAATAATAATCATGAAAAAGAATTTTTCTTTTTTTTTGTTTTGAAAAATAAATTTCACATGAATAAGTCGATAAAGTGAATTAAGATAAAATTCATCTTTTTCGATTTTTTTTCTAAAACGATTTATTTGATCCTGTTCTTGTATGTTAACATCTTTTGGCCATCCACCTTCAGTATGATTTATACCTTTAGATTCAGTATTATAACGAATAGTATTGACCTATGAATAAAAAAAAGAAAAAAAGAAAATTAAGATAAAAAATTATTGATTTTACTAAGGAAAATTTATCATACTTCATGTTCAGATAATTGAATTGAATTTTGTACACCTATTTCAACTGGATCACGATAAATAAATTCTTGTAATAAATTTAAATTTGGAATAATTTCTGCAAGAATTTCTGCAGGTCGATCACTGAAATTTGTTGGTCGTCCAAGTTGATTTCGTTTTTTTGTGTAAACATATTGAATATCCATATTTAATGAGAGTAAAAAACAAATAGCGCCATTTTTATTTTGAGCTAAAACACAATACATATTGTGTGAATTTTTTTCAAAAAAAAAATTTATTCGTTAGTAAACAATTGTTTAAAAGCAGACTCTAATTCTTGTATTTTAATGCTGAGAGTACTGATTCATGTTAACTACAAGTGCTCTGTTACGATGAACGGATGAACCGAAATTTTTAAAACAAAATGTTCCTTCATTTGATTAAGGATACTCACATCTTTTTTGACCATTCCTGATTCTCAAAAAGGATACAAGCAATTGGATTGAAATTTTTTTCACAGATAGAGTCCTGGAATAAGGAGATAGGTGTTTGAGGAAAATAATTTCTAAGAGTGTGTTTTCGAGATTTTTTGGCGAAAACCCTGATTTTCCATAGGATTGCATCCTGGTACATTGTGATCTCCATCAAATTTTATCCAGTTCAGCTGAAATTTTTTTAAAGATATCTCAGACTATATCTCAGAGATATTTTTGAGCGTTTTATAAAGTCTGTTTTGTTTTTAATTAGAGAGATGCGTAAAGATGGGAAGTCAGAATAGGGATGTTGACTTTCAGCAGCTGTTTAGTCTGAATAGGAAGATCAAAAAACGAAAACGGTCGACTTTATCTCTAGAGGATACTTGAAAGTATCTGTGGTAAAACTTTCAGCCCGATCGGACAAAGTTCGAGGGTAACCGTAAGCAACTAGAATTGAGAAAACGGATGTTTTATATTACGCTAAGTGAATGAATAGAATTTCAATATGATTATTATGATAAAAGTAGATTTTTAAACTCAGTAACTCAAGAAGTTGTTTAGTATCCAATGATGTTTCTAATTGCATATGATACTTTAGACTATCATGTCTTATGGGCAATTCGAAATTGAGTTTTGGTTAAAAAAAGAGACGAAAGGAATACCCTTGAGATGGTCAGCAAACTGTATAAAATATTTATTTAAAAATCAGAATTTTGTGTTCTGTCCAAATGTCGGTTCAGAATTATTATTAGACTCATGTGCTCATTTTAAAATTGTTTCCATGATGTTTTTCAGCAATTTTTCTCATTAATGTCGTACTTCTGGTGTAGAGATGCCGATTTTATTTAAGTCTCATTTCATTTCGTTTAACTACATCACATTTTGAAACTTTTTTGGATCAATACTTAGAGAACAAATATGCATATGTTTTAATAGCGATTTATTTGAGTGAGACCGTGTGCTACAATGCGTGTTAACAACCGATGTTCTCGAAGTAATCTTTTAGAAATCATCAAGTACATCATGTGAGCCTAAAAATATCATTGTGTCTCTTGTTGAAACTTTCATTTTTGGTACATGGCTTAAGGTAAACTAATAATATCGTAGAGAAATGTTTTCTCTTTATTTTGATATGTTTGAAATAGATTTTGCTTCTATCCTGTCATCTTTTTGTGCTTAGAAATCCGTCTAGAGATTATTTTCAAGCCTTTACTAGACTCGCTGATAATTCCAAAAATATAAGTCTAATAGAAATTCTGAACTTGAATTCAAAAAGAACATAAAATTTTGATATTAAGCTAATATTTTATAATTTCTACTGGCCATCTTAATCGATCGAAAAAAAAAATTGAAAGAACATTTTGTCTCAAAACTTTCCACTCATTCGTTCGTGTTAGAAGGCTAATGACAAATAAAGAATTGCAAGAAAATAGTACAATGTAAAAATTTTGTCAACGCAATGTTATGAGACTCATTTAATTTATTTATACTTTCAGATAATTTAATATAAACATAGTTTTGATATTATGACATATATTTTAAAGATTCGAGCAAATGAAATAAAATGTACTATTTGTTTGTACTGAGTGCATTTCTAGGATAAGAAAGTAGGACATGTCAAATTAAATTTACGTTCATATCTTCAGTTATTATTTTGATTCCTATCAAAGAAGATTATCAACCATAGTAAAGACGACAAAATTGTCATATTTATCTAGGTATAATCAACAAAAATTTTTCTTTCTATGTCAAATCTTATAATTACTACTGATCTATTTCAAATTATATTCTTTATTAGAGACTTAGTTGTTTTTGATACTGCCGTATGAGTTTTTCATGATATACTCATATGTGTTTTTTTCTATAACAATTTTGCTAAATAATTATTACTTATGAAATATGCACACAGAGTTTTTTTTTCTTTTCTACATACACATTTTCAAAAGACTAGAACGGATATAATTATTTTAATTGCATTGATAGAAGATACTATTGTCATATTCTGTAGTAGCATCTGCATGAAGTATATATTCAACAAAAAAAAAACAACTCTAATAAAAGAACTTATCAGTATGATTTTACTTTTTTTCTTTCATTAATAAATATTAAGAAATTTATCATCATTAGTAGAAGATATATTCGTAGAAGAATCGATGGCATCATCATCAACAATTCAATTACTATGGACGATTGCTCAACAATATACTATTTATACTGCTTTTATTATTTTTATTATTGGATTTGTTGGTAATCTATTAAATATTCTTGTTTTTACAAAACTTAAAATTTTTCGAAATAATCAATGTATATTCTATTTATTGATTGAATCTATTGTTGATATCAATGCCGTGATATATAATTTGATTATGCGACTTTTAACAGTAATATATGGATCTGATTTATCCCAATATTCGACTCCATGGTGTAAATTACGAACAATGATGGGACAGACATATTTATTAATTTCACTTTCTACAATATGTTGTGCTGCAATTGATCAATTTCTTTCAACAAGTCATTTGATTCATTTAAGACAAAAAAGTACATTAAATTTAGCTCGACGTTTAGTGATTATATCTGTATGCTTTTCAATTGTTCATTCTATTGGATTTGGAGTTTTTTATAATGCTAAACCATTCGTTGATTGTTTAGTTTCCTATCAAGTATTAGTTCAGTATTATTCATATTTTTTTTATCCAATTCTATGTGGTCTTTTACCAATTTTCATTTCTGGTTCATTTGGTTTTTTAGCTTATCGTAATGTTCGTCGAATTGTTCGACGACAATTACCTATTGTTCGAAGACGTCTTGATCATCAATTGACAAAATTTGTTTTAGTACGTGTTATTTTTCTGATTATTTGTCTTTCACCTGTTTGCATATTTCGTATTTATACAATTAATACTATTACCCAACCATCAAATCCACTCCGTATGGCTATTGAAAGATTATTTCAAGCATTTATAGGTTCAATGTTCAATCTTCATTTTGCAGTAAAAGTTTTATTTGTGAAATTTCTTAGAAATTTTAATATAAAAATATTTTTCTAGGGAAATTGTTGTATTTTTTTGGTTTCATCATCACGATATCGTCGACAAGTGAAATATGTTTTAATAAAAGAATATTGGAATTCATGGAAACGAAAATTTCATTTTAATCATCGTCAAATTGAACCTATTGCTCCACCAACAGTTTCTAGTAATGAACTTGAATAAAAACTAAATTATCTTCATGTTTTTTCCTCAAAAATCAACAAAATTTAACAAATAGATTTCTTGTTGATTGACTAACATGCATATATCTAATTTATGACTTCAATAATTGCAATTAAATTGTTTCAATTTTTATTCTTTGAATTTAGTATTTCATAGGTAGCCAATTATAGTTTGAATGTTGATATTTAGAATTTGTATGTCCCTTTCGTCATCGACAATTCTACAAATTATATTAGCGTATTGTTTGCGAAACGAACGACAAAATCGAATGTGACAGGGTAGATCATTTTAGGTCAACAATGAAGTGCTGGGTCAATTACTCTATTTAAATAACTACTAATAGGAAATACTGTCGAAGCAAGATTAATCCTTTGTTTTATCATTAAAGTGATGAGATGAAGATATGAAATTTGAATTTTAGAAAATTACATTTGAAAGAACATCACTGAAAATCATTAGGAAAAGATATCAAACCTAAGTAGTCTCCCATCTCAGTCGTTCATGAAAATTCGTCCGTAGCAGGGGACACATGTTCCATATGTGCAAAATTCTTTAAACTGTTTGAGTTTCTATGTTAAATAGACATGACTCAAAACAAAAACGTGTCAAAACTTTGTGATTAACATGCAACATCGCAAAAACTTGTATTACGCATATATCTCGATTGAATTTGTTGCTAATGTAGAAACTAGTCCAACTGTAATCCGTCATTTGAACTCATATTGAGCCCACAAGGAGGTCTCGGTAAGAATAATAAAAGCCTATAATGAGTTCATTTTCATGAACCCTTAAAGCCGAGTTATGCACGTTTTACTAAATTTTTTATCCATTTTTTAGGTACTTACTGGAAAAAATAAAAAACAGAGTTCCAATCTGATATCCCGTTCATAGATATATATAATATCCTCTACAGTATCCTAAAAGTTTCAGCTGACAACAATGTTCCTTTGTCAAGACATTGAATTTTCCGAGAATATTCATTTGACCAGATATGTCACAAAAATCGAATTTAATTTAATTGAAAATTGAAATTTCAGATCGAGTATTCCATTATTTGATTTTTCCAGTAAGTACATAAAAATAGGTCAAAAATTCATAAAAACTTCTATAACTTCGCTCTGAAGGTCCGTGCGAACAAACTCTCTTCGACCTTTCCTAGTCTTACTGAGACCTTGTGGGCTCAATATGAGTTCGAACGGTGGTTTACAGTGGATGCAATTCCGTCGTAAGTATTCCATTAGCATATGGAAAGTGGAAATGTTTGATAATGTGTTCTCTTTCCATAGCACTAAATCAGTCTCGCTAGAGTCCGAATGAATTCCACATATTTGGATGAAGCTTAATAAAAAAAACATCATTACATCGTCTGAACTTGAGCTATGTTCAAAAAGCAGTTATGTCTATTTTTGAAATATTGAAAAAATACAAATAATTATTTCAGATAATAAATTTCCTTATCGAAAATTTCATGTGAATGATATTAGAATTTTTTCAAAAAAGAAAAATCAGAAATATGTACAATTTATCATTAGACTTCTTTTAATGATGATATCACATGTTGTTAGCCTGATAACATGCAGAAATAGTTCATACCAATTGTGAAAAAAATAAAATTCAAATGAATTGTCAAACAAACACAAATTTAAAATTTTATAAAAATGATGTTGAGTTAGAAAAAGCTTTTTTAGACTAATGATTAATTTATATTCTATAATAAAAAAAAAAGAAGCATTCAAATAACCGAAAATCTTCTTCAGTTAGATTTTTTAGAATGAAGAAAAAAACACAAGGGATACATAAAAGTGAATAGAATGATACAACATAATACATATTCTGTTTTATGAAGTTTTTCAATGAGTTAATTAAATCCTTGGAAACGAATTGTTGATATTATGCTGAAAATTGTCTCAGAGCATAGATACCTGAATGAATCCGTAAGATATTTGATCGAGCATTTATTCAGCACCCGATGACCTCTATTGATAGTAGTTCTAAAGATTAGCTAGTTGAGTACTCGAAAGTATCGAAGTGCTCAATAGTATCTGTGTCATACTAGTAATATGGTACCCGTGTGAATACTTTAAATTAAGTAAATTCACTGGATATATCATTTCAATTCGTTTAATCTAAGTGTTTTATCGGTGTTGATAACGTTAAGTCAAAGATTTCAAAGATTTCTAAATTTTACTTTTATATAACGTAATACAAGATCGATGGAATTCTCTGAGTCAATCAATAACAAATCAGAAAACAAAGGTAAATTTAATTTATATAAAAGATTTTTAAAAAAATATTAAAAAAATTAACACATTCTGTATTCTGTTAAAGAGAAATTATTTCTATTATTTATGGAAATGACAATTATTGCACCTTGTTTTTTACTCTTGTCGCATTCTACATTTGCATACAGCAATGTATCTAGTTGTTAATTAAAGAAATTAGTTTTAGAAATAGATACTCGTGTCGCAAATGCGTATATAGAATAGAAGAGATGAAGAAAGAAAACTATATAGCTTTAAATATAACATATCCATACATCCGACTGAGTGAATAGAAATAAATAGGTAATGGTATTAATGGGTAAATGAAATAATCCTTTTTATTCTATTGTTTTATCTTAAAACAAATATTGCTTATTTAATATAGATCCATTTGAATAAATTTAGTATTTTAACATTTTCTTTGCTTGTATTCTGTCTGTTTGGGTCAGATTTTTTATTTGAAATGTTTTCTTATTCCTAATCCTTTCAAATTCTTTTTTTTGAAATGCATGGATTTTCCTCACAATCGGCTTCTTTTTATTTTGGGAAGTAGATAAGTGATTAGGTTGACGGGTTAAAAGTAACTTAGCTCGATGATTAGCTGGACACGAGAGGGGAAATAGCGGACTTCAAGACTGAAATCTTTATTGTTTCACCATTGGCTGGACAGGTAAATATATCGGTAAATGTGCACACATTTAGTTTTAATGAAAAGTATCATCTTCATCGTGATGGTTTTTTTTTTACTGATCTTATAATTCGTGTTTTCATGAGTGACTGGTCTCTCCTTGTATGGCTATCCGTCTTGGACACCTTATTTTTCCTGTAATTTATATATAGACATGTGTTCTGTGTACAGATGCGACAATTTATTGTATGAAAACGCTCAACAAAGTGAACACTCTTGGCTTATGAACAGCTCTTTTCACAAGTCCCATTAAGAGCTTGCCCCTTAGAAAATCGAATTTTTCAAAAAAATATCGAACATTTATTTACAACGGCAATATTGAAAATTAATAAATTGTTATTATATTTAGAACAGCATGTTGATCATGTGCACACAGTGCTTGTAAAATTTGTTTATTATGTTGAATATTTTTTGAATGTATTTGAAGTTTTAACCATAATTTTTCCACATAGTTGTCATATTTAGTTAACATTTGTTGTACATTGCCTTGCATATGTTGAAAAATATAAGCAAAATAAATAGCACTTTCAAAACCCACACTGATCGATTGAAAATAAGGTCCACCCATTGCTGCATCGCCCATTAATATCCAATGCTGATTAAGATTGTTATCATACACTGAATGTGTAAGTTTTTTAGCACAATATGCTTGTAAAGGAAGAACAATTAATTCCATTGTATCGTAACGGACTTTACTTGTATTTTCATCAGAAAGATTGTCTAAAAATTTGTCCAAATCATTATAAATTTCATGTTGGTATTCCTTTAAATAATTATACGTTAAAGGTTTTATTTCACACATTTGTTGAAATAGGTTTTCATCAATTGTAATTAAACCTGTAACATACGTTTGTCTCTCTTTCATTATATAAGTATCATCGATTGATGGAATGACACGATATTTTTGTGTACGACGATTTTTATAATATTTACATAATTCATTACATTCATATCTATCATCAAATATGAATGAGCATATCAGTACATATTCAACTAAAAGACTAATACGATTATTTGGTTGAATATGATTACTTAATACAGAATGATAGCCTGTACAATCGATTATGAATGTGTTTGAATAGTACTGAAGTGAACCTAAATTTTTGCTAAAATCATATTGATCACCAACTAAAATTGTACCACCCGATGAAATATAATATTTTTTAAGCGTTTCTTGAATTGTTTGGATAGATGTACACACTTCGAGCCAACTAGTAATCGTCCCAGAAAGTTCTAATTTCATAGAATCAATAGCTTTCTGTCGTTCTTCCATTTGTTTTTCAGAAAATAAATGAATACCATTAGTGATCACGTTTGATAGAAGAATTTGTCCAGATAATTTAACGCGTCTTGTTCGTGTAGTTTCTGATCGTTTTTCCACCATAGTGACATTCACATCTTGATCACGCAGAAGACAGCCTATAAAAATTGATGCATGAAAAATTATCAAGATCGAAAAAAAAAATATTTCTTACCTAGTAAAAGACCCACTGGACCACCACCAATAATAAGCACACGATATATATCATTTTGAGCCATTGATAATGAAATGAGAAGTGAAACAGAATTTTTATATTGTGCGTTTTGCATAATCATGAAAATAAAAGTCGTTTGGGTGGAATTCTCCAATTTAATATTCAGTTCTCGTTGTATTTTCCCCACAATAACAACAAACAGATTCTATTGCCAGTATGACTCAAAAGATACGAAATTCTATTGACAATATGACTCGTAAGAAATACTTGAATGTCAGTATCAGGAATTGCGCACACAAGCATTAACAAATTTTTCGTATTTTGCATTTTTTTCTCTACTGTTCTTTTTTGATAAAAATAAACGTTGGAGTTTTATACACGAATTTTTCTTCACCTATCTCAGATACAGTGTGGAAGTTAAAACTGTTTTTTAAAAATTTGATAGTTGAGAAAAATGGCAAAAAAGTTAAAATAATTATAGCTTGGGTTGTAATTATCAATCATTTTAACTTGTTTGACTATTTCAATAGATTTAATTAAGTTGAAATAATAATTATTTTGATTTAATTGACATATTTAATAAATTAAATTAAAATATTTGTATTTCATCCTTCTTTACTTCGAAAACTTAGTATTTATAGATTATTCTCTGTGAGTATTATTTCATGTATTCATCTGCAAGTTTCGTTATCCTGTAGTTATCCGTTGCCTGTAAATGACATGATGCTATTCTTTACTGTCCAACACTGAGTTTTTTCTATCTTAACAGCTATGAACGAAACGCTGAAATTACACTCATTTTTATTGAACATATATTGATCAAGCATGCATGATTTTGAATTAAAAGTATGTCCTTAAAAGTTTCATAATAGAGTAAATCGGTCGAATGTTGAAATTGTTATAACTTTCAGCCATAGTTATAATCGTAAACTTTACTTACAATAGAGGTGTTTGTGTTGTAAGTTAAAAAGGCTAATCAAATATTCGATATTTCTGATACTTTTTGCTGTTCCACTTTTCTGATTAAATGCAGAGTTTCTCATCGTTAATAAGCACGAAATTTTTTATCAAGAAAACAAAAAACGGTTTTGAAACTGAGAATATTGATCACATTAAAATCTTGAAAAATAAATTCAAATGTTCTAAATTAGAAGAAAATGTCTTCTCTGATTTAAATTGAATTTGATTCATTTGAGTTTGATATTATCTTTTATTGAATGTTCAGGTATAAAAAAGACATCTTGATTCAATGTTTATTGTAGGATATGTTGTATATAGTTGATTACAGTCTTTTGATTACTACCGTGCACATTGTCGTTATGAGCATCTTCAGACAAATTTTGTCTTGTTAATATATGATGAATAGTTGACAAATTTAGTTCATTACAATCAGCGTAATGTTTTTTACACAATAAATCGAAGTCATATTTGAATATCGTTGCAATTTATCAAAGAAACAACGTTTATTTTTTTATAGTAGACACAAAATGTAAG